CGTACAAAAAACGCATGATTTGGGTATTTGGTGATCCTGTTGAAGAACCTGCCGTTAACAATCCAAATATGGACTCCCCAAGCTCCAGAGTTCTTGTAGTTAAAGAGCGGTCCATCTCGACCACCGGGTTGAACCCAGCACATTAGTGTTATAGAGTGCTGGGCGTCGAGTCCTCCGTCATTTGGGAACTCGATGAAACTGTTTGGGTTACCAGCAAACTGGTAGGATCCATTCGGTTCCCCATGTGGTCCAGTAGCGAGCTCCACCTGCCCTAAAACTCCAGCTGGCTGCTTATCGTCAATTTCTCGTGCTTTAAACTCCTCATTTAGAGGATAGTAAGCGATAAGTTTACCTTAGCGTAGAAAGAAATGAACGAAGTAATTACCACACTGATCTATGGAACAGTTTTGAGTAAAAATCAAGTCGTTAAAGGACAGGGCTTAAAACAGTGCGCTCGTTGTTGTTATCATAGATTCAGCAAGGCTTATTCAAAACAATCACTGGTACTATATGCCTATTTTATTTTTTTAAATTTGTAGGAAAAGGACGAAGAGCCAGTAGTTTTAATGGTAACAGAATCCATTACCAGAAAAATATGTTCTTTTTAAGAGTTGGGCCACACAATTATCAAAAATGTGAATGACAAAAGCTCTTTTAACCAGAAAAAATGTGACATTATATCAGTAGTAAATCCGATGCTCTTAAGACACCACTTGTTTTAAAAGTTACCCTTTGAAGATGTTGTAGAGCATTTTCAAGGATTGATATTTCGAGTATTTTTAGGTTTACCTTGTGTTTTATTAAGTCTTGCCTTTTCGCCCCTACGTGCTATTTTGGTAGATCTATAGTTGTGTTCATTTAATTTAGTGTGTGCTTGAACTTGGCTCAGTTCTTACCATGCTAAACATTTTGGTCGCCTCTTATGGTTGAGGATAACTAGTTTGCTAGGTGGTCATGTTTGGGCTGGTAAAACTGACCTTGAGTTTTACCCTCACTGAATATCCTGTTTTGGAAATTCGCACGGTCAGCTAACCCAAACATGTCTGTGATTTTTACATTAAATGAGAGAGGGCACTCCTGGCTGAAGTTAGAAGAAGAGAAATAGCTGTGGTAGTAGAAGGTAGTAGCAACAATAGAAGAGAAGAGAATAAAAGAAGAAAAGTATAGAGTCGTAGTACCTCTTGTTAATTCACCAAGTGAGTTGTAAAACCCCCACAACAAACAAAACAAACGAACAAACAAATTCAAAAGAGTGGAATACTTACGAATTTGGCAGCGATCACCAGTGACACCGGGAGGACATATGCAGGATCCATTGGGTTCCCCATGTGGTCCAATTGTGAGTTCCACTTGTCCTAAAACTCCAGCTGGCTGCTTATCGTCAATTTCTCGTGCTTCAAACTCCCCGTTTAGAGGATAGTAAGCGATAAGATTACCTTGATATACGAAAACAATGAACGAATTAATTACCATACTAATTTATGGAACGGTTTTTAGGGAATCTCGAGTTTTTGGAGGCGCTTTCACTGAAGCTTAGGGTAGTGTCAACAACAGCATATTGTCGATCGATAAAATTGGTCAGTGATTTACAATTTTGAAAGCATATTTCTTAGGCATAGGTTTCGATATGGTACTTCTCCAGAAGTTAAAACAGCAGCTCTTCAAACAGGGCCTTCAATAAAAACAAACTGAGGATTTATTCTCCAGACCATGACAATAAATTTGAAATAGAACCCGCGAAAGATCGCGTGACGATAACCGATCGAAAACATTGATCTCTGATTGGATTATTTTCATTTGGTCGCAAGGACATTTCCCAGCAACAGTTCACCTGCAGGGACCAAGATGACTTGGGGGAAAGGGACTTCTGAACTATGATCAAGGGACGAGGAAAGTTGTAGGAAGTATTCCCTCCTAGAGTGCTGACCTTCTTGAAGTTAAAACTAGTTGCGACAACAGCCACAGCCGTCAACGACCACTGCAGAACATAGAATATGCGTGACAAAGTGTTATGGATCATAGCGTCGGATTCTGCAAAAACATAGCGATGATAAGTGAATTTGTATACCGCTGCTCAACTCCCCCTCTTTATATTATCTTAAAGCAGAAGGAAAGACTTCACTCCAAGGCTGAGGTACTAAATACCTGTATGTATGCTGCGGTTTTGCGTTTAATGACCTGTGAAATGGCAGTGACCTTATTTTGATCAGAACAGGAAAAAATTATCATTCTAGCGTATGTTCCAATAACTTAGCCAATCATTAACGTTTTGTTATTTGTGGAACCGGAAATATTATGGAATCAAGATTAGTTGCGTCAGAGAACCCTTGAATTGACAGCTAATGATTTGCGCACTTGAATATCTTTCTACTATGTTAATTAGCTATCAGTACAAGAATGCTTCCGCAAAGGCCACTGAACACCTTAACGTAAGTGTTTATTGGCTATCTGTTTATTTGAGTACCGAGGTTTGCGAAACGAAGCAAAGGTCTCTTATTAAGCGATAGAAATAGTGAGATGTCAGGAGAACATGTTGATTAAAAATGGATTGAAACGTTAATGTACAGACTAATCCGGACTAAGAAGAACATACTATTGCTTCAAGCGTACGCTGCCAATAAAAAGGCGTTTCTTTTGTTTCTAAACGGGAGAAAAGGTTTGATTCATGAATCATTCGAAATGAAAATATCTTGGGGTTCTGGAGGACATGAAAATGAAGAGGGGTTGGAGCAGGAGGGAGGCTGGAGAGAGGGGAGGGTGAAAGGAGAGTGAAGAAAGAAAGAAAGAATGATAAAGTTCACTATAATTATTGATTAAAAGCGGGCCCTATTAAGTGCATAGAAAGAAAGGTTACAGTTTACTATATAGTATCGAACTTTGAATGCAAATTCTTCGATATTTTTTCCAAAATCCCTCTGCTTATGAAATTGAGAACCAAGCAATGCTCTCTAGGAATCAGAAATATGTGCTCTTCCTCAGCATGTCATGGCCTTCTTTTTCGCATACACGAGAGCACGTTAGCTATCAGTTGGAAAATATTCAGAGATCGACGAAACTTGATGAATGAGCGTTAGATTACACCTAACTTTGGCTGTAAAAGAAAATCAAAAAATGGGGAGCTATCGGTGATCTCAACTAACTTAGGATTCCAGTCGAAAAAGACCAGTATTCCCGTGCATTTCTTAAGAGCTTCCTTGTAAACGTAGACATGTTTCGTAAATGTGAAAGTCATTTCGCAGACATCGTCTGTGGTGCAATAAGTCCAATACTGAGAGTTGTCAGAGGAAGAATAAACATGATAAATAATCAACTATCTTTTCATTTTATCCCACCTTCAACTCCGCTTGCTGAAAATGCAAAAAGTGGGAAGATGATATAGAACAGAAATCCTTTTTTCAAGTTCATCTTGAAGCCAAAAAGTAAACAGCAATATACTAGTGTTAACTGAATTTGTAAACTGCAAACAGTCGGTCGTCCTTAATATGTTTAATAACCTGTGCGACTTTTTCCGCATTGCTCTCCTCAATGCAGATGTGGAGTTTTCAACGTTCCTTTAATTATAAAAAGCGGAAAAACATATCAGACGAATACTTCTTGTTCCGGCGATTTAACGAGGATTCAGGACGACGAGTACGTTCAATTTTAGCATGATTTATTTACGCAAAGAACTACACGACAAACTCTAGACAGAATGGCGAGCGTAAAACAAACAAAACAAAAAAACGAGACCGCATGCCACACAGCAATGTCACGTGCACGAGTTTTGGCGCGAACACTTCTATTGTTTTAAATACAATGGGATAGCCTCCCTGAGGAAAGTTGTAATTAATAACTTGAATAGTAGACAGGAAAAAATTAGTCGGGCGTTTCAATGAGATCGTGACAGATTGACGGAACAACACGAGTCCTTTTTCTCCCATGGAAGACGTTTGTTCATCTGCTAGTAAATCTGAAGTATTCAAAACTAGTTCAGTTTCATCGTGATTTTCATTGCGGCCATTTAGCGTTGTATATTGTAGATAAAGCCACTTGACCTTTGAACTTTGGGCTTATTGAGCTTTCGAAAAATAAGCGCGTTGTCAACTAACTTGTATATCACACAGGTCTGCATTGCTTTACGCTTGAATTGTTATCAACAAGAGTTGCCCAATCTTATCAAAATTTAAATAGTTAGCAGTAGAATTTTTAAGAAAAATCTTTCGAAATGTTTTCGTTTTGAGCAAATCTTTTGTGTTCCATGGCAAAAAAACATATCTTCTAGAATCAGCGTGAAACTAAGGAGTTGGGTTCACAAGCTCAGTAAATTTTTCCTCGATGTAACTCACTTTGTTTCGATCAATAAACTGTTATTGATAACGCTTCAAGCTTAAAGCAATGCAGGTCTATGTGAGATACAAATTACTTGACATTAACGCGCTTCTTTTTCGAAATAGTTTGGATATATCAACAAAGTTGAAATGGTAAATTAGCCACCGTAATGATTACAAAAGCTGACGTTTCGAGCGTTAGCCCTTCGTCGGAGCGAATAGAGGAATTGTGGGTTTTGTGTGCTTTTAAAGGCAGAAAATGGAGCTACGTTATTGGTGGGAGCATGGCAACGAGAAAAACATGAATAAATTAGTGGAATGAAAAGCGTTCGTTGATCCCTGTGGGATTTAGACTGCCGGTTTGAAAGATGAGCTTTTGTTCAAGATTTTTACGGCTTTCCGTGCCACCTAAGTGCAAGGAAAGACCGCAGATTGCCATATCAAACCGGCAGTCTAAATCCCACAGGGATCAACGAACGCTTTTCATTCCACTAATTTATTCATGTTTTTCTCGTTGCCATGCTCCCACCAATAACGTAGCTCCATTTTCTGCCTTTAAAAGCACACAAAACCCACAATTCCTCTATTCGCTCCGACGAAGGGCTAACGCTCGAAACGTCAGCTTTTGTAATCATTACGGTGGCTAATTTACCATTTCAACTTTGTTGATATATCCAAATTATTTCGTTACTCCCACCGACGCAGCCCCAAACAGTTTCTTTCGAAACTATCAGCCTTTATTCTTTTTCGAAAGCTCAATAAACCCAAAACTAAGGCCGATTAAAAGTCTCTGTGAAAATTTTATTTCGATTTTAGTCTTAGAAGTCCTTAACCTGTCATTACTGGAAAACCTTTACTTGGTCGTGGAGCGATCTGACTTCGCCTGTGGAACGATATCGTAGACATCGTAAACCAGATCCTAGGACTGAGCCGTTTCATTGGTGTCTTTCCTTTAGTTCAGAGATGAAGCCATTTACCCATTAACGTCCCCAAGGGTGACTAGAATCTAATTTCTCCTCACAAATATCACAAGAATAAATCATGAGAAAAAGTTGCTAACTTAAGAATATTTTAATTGTAAAATAAATTCTCTTTGTAAGTACCAAGAGAATTTTACAGAGAAGAGTGTAGAGATTGTGGTCAACTTGGCCATAACCCAGCTTGAAACTCGCGCAGAAAGCACTGCATTAAAATATGGTGAATAGTACATCGCTGCCGGCTGTCAGAGCAGGTTGTCTTTGTGAGCATCCAAATGAAAGCTTAATCTGTAAGGAAAACAAAATAAAGCAATTAACAAAGGTTTCGCAAGCTTCTCCAAACTCCATTGCGACTGAAATTAAGATTGATAACAAGGAAAGATAATCCTTCAGACAAGGAGGTACGAATGGACCACAGCCTTTTTACCGTCAAATTATTCAAGTCTTCTCTACAAGAATGGCCCATGCGGGATGTCTTTTTCACCCTTTGATTTTAAGCAGTGTTCAAAATGTACCTTTTCTTTACTTTATTAATACATTGTTCAACCAACAGATGAGGGGATGAATAGACCTCCGTATTATATGGCTGTAGTTGTTCTTGTCCTGTTATAGCCTTTTAGCTGCTTTGGAAATTCGGGAGAATAAGGTAGCTGACCTTAGTGGTTAGAGCAGTTTTTAACTGAATGACGAGAATCTAAAACCAAATTAATCGCAGCGGCCACTCACTGAGTTATGGTTGACGTAGCCATTACTTTATGAGAATTCAAAATGAAAACAGGCCAACTGCTTGAAAAGCGGGAAAACAAGAGTAACCAGGTCGCGATTGGTCTTAGATTTAAATCTGGGCTCAGTTGTATAAAGAGCGGATAACACTATTCAACGAATGAATTGTTATCCAGCGGATAACAATCCACTGGATAGAGTTTTATCCGGTGGATAGCGTTATCCAATTTTCGAACAACCGGGGCCTGATCGATTGAGTAAGCGCGCCAGTTTTCTGGACTAAGCAAAAAAACCGAGTTCAGCAAAACCAGAGCAACTGTGCACAATATATGAATGATACTGTGTTGTTCGAAGGCCGAAATCAAACAAGAAACAGACTGGATTATAAACACAACTGGATGGTTTAATCCGCCATCAGGAAAGCATGCTACAAGAACGCTTGCATGAACTCGAGGCATGGTACCACAGGATACCCAACACTACATATACATATATGACTATAGCTACAGGATGTCCCTTGAATTACCTTCACATCCATAGAGTTCCATCCTCATCGAGATGTGATTGTGCCATTCAGTGGGGAGAACTCTTACGTAACGTGCCTCAATTGATGGGTAGAGCTCATGGAATACAACAGTGTTACTGTCTTGGTTTGCGATGAACTCCTGCAAATCGAGGCAGAATGCAAACTTCAAGTTAAAACATAATTTTACCTTGAAATTTCTGAAGTGATATTTGTATGTAGTGGAAATTTTCCAAGGTCAATGAAGAACTTTAAAGCATAACTGAATTTGACTTCAACGCTCTATAAATATCAAAGAAGCAGATGTGTAGAGTTGACAAGTTAGGCAGCTCCTGTAATCAAGGAAAGGCTTCCTCGATATTTCATGATACACCTGGCAGAGATCAAATATCATTGCCCAATTTTTAACTTGACTAGTCCACAAATAACCCAAGAGGAAAATGAATGATAAAAGACAAAATTAGAAATACTCCTTGTCGCTCCATGCTATAGAAACCGTAGTTAGACGCTGGCCTAATGAGCTACTTGACTCGTAAACAAATTCACTTTTACCTTTGGAGAGCTTTGGCCTGGTATTTGATAAAAGCTAAAATTCACTCCATCATCACTGTACTGCACTTTGTATTTTTTCACCCATTGGACGTACGCATTCCTTCCTTGAGTGGCCATCTGTGTTATTGTCGTTTTAGCGAGAAGATCAATTTGGATCCACTGATTAACATTATTGTATTTAGCAGACCAACTTCCTGCTTTTCCTGGAACCGCCAAAAAGTTCAACCTTCCCTGTTTTGCAGCATGGTTTCCATCCCATTCTGAAGAGGCTGAGATCTGAGCATCTTTTATAAGCTTCATTTGATTATCCATACCCAGGGGTGCTGAGCATGCTTTAAAGGAACGGAATAAGAAGATTAATCCCCAACACAGCCAATAAGTAGAATATGATAAATATGTTACTGGGATTATTTTACGTGAATTTTATTCGATGAGTTTGCCACCATGAGCCACTTATAGCACAGTGTGGTATCCGAGGTACTCCTCGCAGAAAGGTCAAAGGTTGAATTTGGTCGGAGCACACAGAATCTATTCTCTCCAAGTATGCTTCTGTAAGACATTTATTATTTCAACATATTTAGATGTACATGAGAAGAAAAATAAGGCCCTTAGTTTTCCCTGCTAATGTTATTTAATACAAAATAACCTTATGAACCTCACCCTATCAGTAGGTGAATCATTAATACACAGTCTATTCCGATATTTTATTACTGGTAAAAGTTTATTATTGCACTTTGCTAACCATTCAATCCTTAAATAAGGTGATAAAAAGTAATTAATGATAAACGAGGAGTCACATGAGGAAGTACTTCCGCAATGATAAAACAATCGTGTGCTTCCAAAAAAATGTAAAGATTACTTCATTAAAAAAAAATGGCCTCAATCTTCTCGACGACCAAATTAGACAAATGACTGTTTAAAAGTGTAAACTATCATTACCTTTACAGCCATATAGCTCCATTCTCATGGAGATGTGATTGTGCCAAGCAGTTGGAAGAAGTCTTACGTAGCGTGTTAATACTGGTGGGTTGAGCTCGTGATAGACAGGGGTGTCTTTGTCTTGATTTGCATCGAACTCCTAGGAAAAAGAATTTTATCGAAAAAATAGTATTTACTTCCCTCAGCAGAGTGATGCTATAACTTCCATGATTCCAAGAACCGAAACATCTAAATGTTATTTGTGCCAGCTGAAGTGTTACCATGTCCATTAACATTACCATCGATAAGAAGATTTACATTTCGACATTCTTATTCTAGCGGTATGGAGGAAGTTTGTCACCATGGAAATGGAGAAACAGCCTACCCTGCCACGAGCGCGTGTCCTATAGCTCAGTGGTAGGGCATCCGGAGTGGCAACTGAATGGTCGTAGGTTCGACTACTATAGGGTCCACTTGGAATTCTTATTTCTCCGAGTATCCCTGTGTCGTTTACTGAATAAAATCATCCATCATTACCTAAAATCACCGGGCATCTTTATAGCATGTACATTGTTTTTTGTTCACACCTTTGTGTGACGTTACGAAATACCACGGCGTATCACGTAATAGGCGTTGTGTATTTTTTACCGACATGCGTAGCAAGCTTCTTGCACCAGTGCTTGTTTAAGTTATAATCAATCGCAGTTCTTTTGGTCTCAAGTGGGTAGGCTAGTTTTAGCAAGCGTCATGCTTGTTCTTGTGAGATCTGGGTAATACCTAGAAAAGACCTGGATACTTTTGGATGAGTCACAAGTTGTAATTCGTAGGATTTCGTCATTGGTATCTAGTTATATTATGTAATAAGATGTTTTGTAATCGTTTTCTTTTGAAGCAGACATTTACTCACGTGCACTTCAACACACGCTAATCTAATTACCTCGGGTACGTTCTGGCCTGGTGCGTTGTAAAAACGAAATGTAACCCCATCCACGCTAAACTGCAAACGGTATTTGGTAACCCACTGGTGAAACGCATTCCTTCCTTGAGTCACTACCCCTGTAACTTTTTTGTAACCAGCTAGGTCCACCTGAATCCACTGATTAACATTATTGTATTTAGCAGACCAGCTTCCTGCCTTGCCCGGAACCGCCAAAAAGTTCAACCTTCCCTGGATTGCAGCATGGTTTGGGTCCCATTCTGAAGAAGCTATGATTTGAGCATCTTTGATGAGGCGGCTCTCCATCCCAAGAGCATCTGCGCATGCTGCATTTTTTTGAAAAAAAATTTATGATTATAGTCTTTTTTTTGGCAGGGAAGTTGTCTCTTCGTACATTTGATATTATTGTTCCCAAATTAAGCCATTATACCATATTGGCATTCGAACGCTCAAAATTTCACGGTATTCAAACACTGTGGAAAAGGGAAAAATACGAAGGATAGGCGGAGCACCCGATATGGGCGCAAAAATGACAGCACTTAGATGTTGTTTTCGTCATTCACGTCCATATTGCAAAATCGATGTGATGCTCGGAGGAGGCAATAAGATGTATTTCGAAAACTAAACCAGAAGTCAAAGTGAACAGTGGTAAAATGAAATGAAAGTGAAATAATAAATTCTTTTTCGATGGTTTAAAATATATTTTGAGCAGAAATTTTGCACACAGCTCGTATGTTTCCTAGCCCCTACGGTGCTAAGCAAAATACTACACAACTTGCAAATTATCTGTAGTTCTAAATGTTAAATCATCAAATAAAATGTTTGTATTTATGTAAATACCTGGGCAGCCATAAAGTTCCATTCTCAAAGATATATGGTTGTGCCAGGTGACTGGGGAGAGTCGCACATAGCGTGTATTGATTGGCGGGGTTAACTCGTGCAAGACTTTACTGTCGCTGTCTTGATTTGCGGAAAAGATCTTGAATGAAGATACAAAAACAAGTCGTTAGTTTATCTTACGATAAATTTTCCTAAAGAGTGTTTCCGCAAATCTCTAATAAAAGCAAATTTTTCTGAACTATAACGTGACTAACCTTAACCTATAGCAATATTCGCTCTGACGACGCCGCTGACGCTCGAAAAGTCAGCTTTGGAAACTCGTTGCGGTGGCCAACTTAAATTTTTACTCAATTGATACAACAAAATTGACCTGACCATAGCAATAGTGGTTTACCAGATAGTAATGAGTTGCCTTCTACGATCTAAGACCCTGCGCGGTTTTACCTTAGCTGAGCTCTCTCCTGGTAGATGATAAGGATGAAATGTGACGCCATCACCACTGTATTGCAGCAAGTAAGTAGTTACCCACTGTGCAAATGCATTTCTTCCCTGTGTGACTATCTGAGTTACTTTGGTGTAAGCAAGAAGATCGACCTGGATCCATTGATTGACATCATTGTGACGAGCTGACCAGCTTCCTGCCTTGCCTGGAACCGCCAGGAAGTTAAGCCTTCCTTGAATTGCAGCATGGTTTGCATCCCATTCTGTAGAGGCTTTGATCTGAGCATCTTTGATAAGACCACTTTCCATACCAAGGGGATCCGAGCAAGCTGCAATGATATGCATAAAGCCATAAGGCAATATACAGCTATATACTGGTCACGGAAAAATACAACTAAGAACACGTTTTTTTGCGTCAAGTCATTTGTCTTTTAATACCTGGACATCCGTAGAGCTCCATTCTCATCGATATATGGTTGTGCCATGCAGTTGGTCGCAACCTGACATACCGGGCTTTAATCGATGGGGCGAGCTTGTGGTAGACTTTTGTGTCGCTATCAGAGTTTGCGGTAAATTCCTATAGAAGTGCAAAAAATGGAGAAATAAAACAACAATTAATATTATAGTGGAAAATTCACTGCTGATGAGATGATACCTTTCTTCTAAATTACTTAAAAAGAGACTCAGTGACAAGGGAGGAAAAAAAGGCAGTCTGAATTGAGATGTTGGTAAGACACATCGTAATGATGAACAATTTTGTGCCAAACAGTTTTGTGAAACCTTCTCTTGGCATTTATTTCGATACTTTACATGTAGATTTCTAAACAAAGTTTTTTATCCAAAGGCAAAAGTGCTTATCGGTACCTTCGTAAGCTTCAGCGTCTTCAACTTTCCCTAAGGAGCTATGGTCTATCACAATTTTGATAAAAATCTTCCTCATTTTCCTTTCAGCCAGCACTTTTTTCGCCTTCCTCACAAAATTAGCGCTTTAAAAAGCTGCCTTTTCAGACTTTTTTTAGTGCTAATTACACTTTTCGGTAAATTATTTTCCGCTAATACACGACTAGTCCAAAATATTCCCGTACCTGCAAAATCTTTGAGTAATCTCACACTGGCCCGTATTATCAAATAATCACTAAATATATAGGCTTTGAAAAAGCAACGTGATCTCTATACCTTTGCAGAAGAGTGGCCTGGTAACTGATAATATTCAAAGGTAACTCCATCTTCACTGTACTGCAAAGTGTATTTGGTTACCCACTGTGCAAATGCGTTTCTTCCCTGTGTGACTATCTGTGTAACTTTGGTGTAAGCAAGAAGATCGACCTGGATCCACTGATTGAGATTATTATGACGAGCCGACCAACTTCCTGCTTTGCCTGGAACCGCCAGGAAGTTCAGCCTTCCTTGAATTGCAGCATGATTTGCATCCCATTCAGTAGAGGCGGTGATCTGGGCATCTTTGATGAGGCCGCTCTCCATACCAACAGGATCTCCACAGGCTGGTTTTCAGAGAGAAAAAATTTTATTTTGCCTTAATTTACGTTTTCAATAAGCTATGCACTAAGTACTTGACTTTCTGTGACGATATTGCCAACATTCCGAGTTTCTAAAACAATGTCCTATGCCATGAAGTTTGTAATTAAGGAACAACGTAGTGACTACCGTCACTATACATTAATAGGAAAATTTAAATTTAAAAAGACTAAAACGAGAGAATATCAATGTACCGCAACAAAAACAAAGTCCACATATCTTATGAAACAACGCTAAAAAGTATGAGTACCTGGGTTCACCCAAACAAAATAAGCTAACTAGTGAAAGTGACTGTAAACCCTCTGAGACAGAATATGTTTTATACTTTTAAAACAGTGCACTGAAAAGGGTGTCTTTCTTAGTCACTACGCAATAAATATTAGTAATGTAATAACTAATAATTACTTTCACATCCGTAGAGTTCCATCCTCATAGATATGTGATTGTGCCAACCGGTTGGATGAAGTCTCATGTAACGAGCCTTTATTGAAGGTGTAAGCTGATGGGCTACAGTTGTGTCACTGTCTTGATTTGCAACAAATTCCTAGATTAAAGAAGTAGACAAAAAATTCTAATCTAGCGAGTTCAATATGGCGCATCTTTAATCACAGTTAAGAGCGCCAAGCGTTGGATTGGAAAATATAAAAATTGGAGTTTGATGTCCACTTTTTTTCCAAACTCCTATCACAATGGTCTAAAAACTCCAATTTCCAATAAGTAGGCACACTTTTTCCTAAATCGAATGCCTTTCGATTAAAAGCATGGTTATGTACAGCTCGTTCAAAAAGGGTGCGCCTAACACATTTCGTTGAACTCAGCTGAATGCTCGATCACACATTAGCACTGCTAGAGGGACAATGTCCCATGCTGGATTCCATAGTTTTACATTGTATTTCAATTAATGAATTTCTCAGATCGCATTCTCTTTGTTTTAATCCTAAGTACCTATGTACTTTCTGAATGAGAGTATTGCATTTTTATTTTCTTCAGACTACCCTTACGCTCGAAGTCTTTGTGAAATTAATGTCCAACACCTCAATCGGATAGGATTCACCTCAATCCCGAAGCAATGATAGCATTAAACAAATTTCTAAACTATTAGCTTTGAGAGAAGGTTGTATTCATACCTTTGCTGAAAGCTGGCCTGGTAGATGATAATATTCAAAGGTAACTCCATCTTCACTGTACTGCAAAGTGTATTTGGTTACCCACTGTGCAAATTTGTTTCTTCCCTGTGTGACTATCTGAGTAACTCTGGAGTAAGCAAGGAGATCGACCTGGATCCACTGATTGAGATTATTATGACGAGCTGACCAGCTTCCTGCTTTGCCTGGAATTGCCAGGAAGTTCAGCCTTCCTTGAATTGCAGCATGGTTTGCATCCCATTCTGTAGAGGCGGTGATCTGAGCATCTCTGATGAGGCCGCTCTCCATGCCAACAGCTTCTGCACATGCTGGTTTTCATGAAACAAAAATTTTTCTTTACTAACGTTATCAATAGAGTAAGCTATCTTTCGTGTAAGTAACTGTTTCAGGAAAATTTTTCTCAAAAACAACTTTTCTCGGTCTTGAAAGTCGTGATTAAGAAAACAACATTACTCATACTGATCCCTATAGCTATGATTAATTGCTTTAGCATAAACACAAAGAATGAACTACAACGCAGATATTAGTGGTGTTTACCGTTGCTTATCCCGTTCAAGAAATCATTTCAGTATGATAATATTTTAAATATTTATATATCTAGACATATTCTACTATAGTTCTATCAAAGCAGTTCAAGGATGAGAGACTTTCATTCATTTCTATGATGTATTAACGTCGAACTGGACGTGTGCTCACACAAATACCTGGGCATCCATAAAGTTCGATTCTCATTGATACGTGGTTGTGCCAAGTGATTGGATTAAGCCTTATGTAGCGCGCGTTGATTGCTGGGGCTAATTGGTGAGAAACAATGGTGTCACTATCCTGATTTCCAATAAATTCCTAAAAATCAAGAAGAATTATCACTGCTTTGAGTCATTCTTAAGCTTCTATAGTGAAACGACAAGACAAACGCTCTGAAAAAGGATACCTGACTTATTTTTACCTTAGGCGAACTCTGCCCTGGTTCACGGTAATGAATAAAGTGCAGTCCATCTTCCCTGTACTGCAGGCCGTACTTTGTTACCCACTGAGCAAAAGCATTTCTTCCCTGAGTTGCTGTGCGCGTGACTTTAGTGTAAGCAAGTAGATCGACTTGGATCCATTGACCCTGGTTATTATATTTAGCTGACCAGCTTCCTGCCTTCCCTGGGACCGCTAAGAAGTTCAATCGTCCCTGGAGTGCAGCATGGTTCGGATCCCATTCTGAAGAGGCTGTGATTTGGGCATCTTTTATGAGTCCGGTCTCCATTCCAAGGGGTGCAGAGCAAGCTACAAGTTTTGTTATAAACCAAAGACATAATTGCATGAAAACTCTGGCAAAGTTACACACATACAGTACATACATTTATACATACATACCAACATACATACATACATACATACATACGTAACCTTTATTTAAACTCGAACTTTAAAGTAACTATATCTGTGATTAGCTATGTAACTTGGTTTTTATTGACGGGTTTAATAATATAGATTGGCCACCACAAAATGCTTCAAAGCCGACGTTTAGAGCGTTAGCCCCTTCGTCAGCTTTGAAACCAAGTTACATTATCCGACTCAGATGATAAAACTAAATTATCTTGTTATACTCCAGATCCCCCACCGACGCAGCAACACTGTTTCTTTGGAAACTTACTTCCTTTAAATACTTAGCCACTATCTTCGAAAGATTAAAAATAAAAAGCTAACAAAAACAAATTGTAAAACACATTTCTCATATCGGTAGATTACCGACTAAAGAATGAGCTTTTGTAAACTTATATGAATAATTTTGATTTGGCTTCACTCGCCTAAGCGTCAAAATGGTTTTCTATTAGAGTATTACACCCATTCTATTCTTTCCTGAGTAAACTAACATATTTTCACCAAGGAGTTCGCGATAAAACGTTTTCTGAGTACTGCTGAACAAAGTGTTGCTGCTAAACATCATTTAAGGATTCTGAAGGAATCTCAGTGCTGAAAAGCACGGTCTTTTGGTTGTTACAGTAAACAAAATCTAGAATTTAAACAAACTTTTCAAGCAGTCTCCATTTCAAGGGGTGCAGAGCAAGCTATAAGTGTTGTTATAGACCAAAGATACAAATAAATCAAAACTCAGGCAAAAATTATGGACTTTACCTGCGTAAAGGTACAAAATTAGCCTTTAATATTGCCTAGCGATTCTACAGAATTATACTTTCCCAACACTTGTAATTGTTGTTAGCTTTTATACAGCAATTACATTCAGGAATATCGATCACTGAAAAAAAAACTGAATCTCAAAGAAGGGGTCTCGTTTGAATTAGCTTGATTCGCGTAAGCATTTGAATAGTACTCTATCGTTACTCTATCAGGTAATTCAATTATATCTACTCTATCGAATTTTAAACAAATTTCATGCCTAATCATATGGTTACCTGCGCAACCGTAGACTTCCATTCTCATTGATATATGATTGTGCCAATCTGAAGGAGTAAGTCTTATGTACTGTGCTTGGACGGGAGGAATCAATTCATGGACTACAATAGTGTCACTGTCCTTATTACCATCAAATTCCTAAGAATTAGACAAATATAGAGCAAGGTCAGTAATTGACAAACAAGATCTCAAATCAGTTATCTGTTCTGACTGCCATTCATTTTTCATGATATTAGCTTAAAGAATGATTATTCCGGAGCTCATAACTCCAACTCAGCATGGACCACAATAGTGTTGCTGTTTGTACTACAACTAAATTACTAAGAACAAAACGAGCATCCCATAAATTAAATTTTAAAAATGACCTATGTAAAATGAATTCTTCCATTAAAGGATGCTTTCCACTTTAGAATGATAAACTGATTTTTAAATTTGATTCAAACACAGCCTGCATGGAAACTAACGCCCAGTGAAAAAGGATCAAAAGAACCCCCTCGTTGACCAAGCGTAGATTCTGGTGCCAAATTTATTTACTTTAGTACCGGCTGCTCTAAAGAAGCAGCTTGTATTTTTATAACATTACATACATGTCATAGTACCTTGGGTGAACTTTGGCCTGGCTCATGGTAATAGCGAAAAGTCACACCGTCCTCGCTGTACTGTAACTTGTACTTCGTTACCCACTGGTTGTACGCATTTCTTCCTTGTGTGGCAAACTGAGTTATCTTTGTGTAACCGGAAAGTTTTATTTGTATCCATTGGCTGACATCGTTTCTGCGTGCTGACCAGCTTCCTGCTTTACCTGGAACCGCTTGAAACTTCAACCTTCCCTGCCTGGCGGCATGATTTCCATCCCATTCTGAAGACGCAGTGATCTGAGCATCCACGATGTCACCGCTCTCCATACCAAGTGCTTGAACGCATGCTGTAATGAATTAAAATAAAATGAGCCCAGATATCTCGAAATAAAAACCTTGATTAATGTTAGAACTTAAAGGAATTAAACTTAGAAATTGAAACGTTTTTGTACGGTTGAATAAAAAGGTTTTTCAGAAATGGAGAGGCAATAAGCAATAGAACCTTTTAGCGTGGTCAAAATTTTCCTTGGACATTCGTAGAGTGTCATTCTCATTGCTGTGCACAAACTGGTTTTCATGGCAAAAAAGCTTAGTTTTGCTTTACGTTTTCGCTAAGCTATGCGCTATTTTCTGTGATACTATTGGAAAGATCAAGGGTTCCAAAACAATGTTATATGCCGTGAACTTTGTGATTGCGGAACAAGGTAGTGACAACTGTCACTCTGCTTAATGGGAAAAATAGATATTAAAAAACTAAAACGAGGTAATTTCAATGTAACATGACAACGTCAAATTGTACGTATCCTATGAAAACAGCGCTAATAAATGCTTGCAAAACTTTAAGCAAAAACAGAGATGATAAAAAAAGAGAAAAACGCTCGTAGACAAGCGTATCCTATATTTTATTATGTATTAAGCTGTGGTTCACCAAAGTAAATAGAGCTTTGAAAATTATTATGAAACGCTCTGGGACAGAATATGTCGTCTGTGTTTGTTTTATTTGTTTTAACGATTTTACCGGGTGTGACTAGACCCGGAAGGGTTAGTGCGAACGGAACACAAGGTCCATGCGAGTTACCACCCCTCCCCCCAATCCACCCCAGATAGACACCACACAAAGATAGACCACAACACCGGGCACTACTTGCCCTAATCTTTTCGAGGAGTGTGTGGGTTCTTTAACGTCCCACAAATTTAAATCACATATAAGGGCTTGTGAGACGGGACCTCCATTTATCGTCCCTATCCGAGAAGACTAGAAAGTCTAACCGTTTGCAGA